TAAATATGATTTAATTCCTCTTAGAAATTCAATGCATTTCTTTGTTTTGTGAGATGGGGTTTGATTTATATCTCACATTATGTAAATCACACTATGAAGCTATAATAAATAAGTGACATGTCATCATTCATAAAAAGATCTGGAAAGCAAAATGCATAAACCCACACAGCCTCCTGACCAGCAGGCATTATAATAAATGCTGTGGTGGTGAGCACCTGAGATTTTTTTGTTGATATATAGCAAAAGTGAACTAAGAGTGTTAGTACACAGTTAGTGTATACATATATACATACAGATATACATTGTATATTATATATACATACAATATTCTATATACATATAATTTATAGTATGATACACATCGTATTTCACAGTGAGAAAAGGAATGTATGGTTTTTTTTGAGGCGGAGTTTCACTCTTGTTACCCAGGAAGGAGTGCAATGGCGTGATCTCGGCTCACCGCAACCTCCGCCTTCTGGGTTCAAGCAATTCTCCTGCCTTAGCCTCTCAAGTATCTGGGACTACAGGCATGTGCCACCATGCCTGGCTAATTTTTTTCTATTTAGTAGAGACGGGGTTTCACCACATTGGCCAGGCTGGTCTCAAACTCCTGACTGCATGATCCACCCACCTTGGCCTCCTAAAGTGCGGGATTACAGGCCCAGCCAAAGACATCTTTTTTATTTTATTTTATTTATTTATTTTATTACAGTTTAAGTTCTGGGGTACATGCGCAGAATGTGTAGGTTCGTCACATAGGTATAGATGTACCATGGTGGTTTGCTGCATCCATCACCCTGTCATCTACATTAGGTATTTCTCCTAATGCTATCCCTCCCCTACCCACCCACCCCCCTGATATCCCTCACCTAGCCCCCCACCCCCAACTGGCCCCAGTGTATGATGTTGGCCTCCCTGTGTCTATGTGTTCTCATTGTTATACACCCACTTATGAGTGAGACATCTTTTTAAAGCAGTATATCAAACAGAAAAAATATAAAGAAAAACATATTTAGATTTGTTTATATAAAACTGTATTTGTTAGAGAATTGATTGAAAAACAAAGTCAAAGACAAATACAAATTGGGAAAGGCATACAACAAAAATGTTATGGAAATATTTATTTATTTGTTAGGTTGGTGCAAACGTAATTGCAGTTAAAAGTAATGACAAAACAGCAATTACGTTTGTACCAACCTAATATTTATTTATTTTTGAGATAAGATCTTGTTCTGTTGTCCATGTGGGAGTGCAGTGGCGAAACCAAGGCTCACTGCAGCCTCAACCTTCTTGGCTTGAGTGAACCTGTCACTTCAGTCTCCCTAGTAGCTGGGACTTTAAGCATGTGCCACCATGACTGGTTATTTTTTTGTTCTTTAAATTTTTGAAGAGATGAAATATTCTTCCATGGGCCAGGCTGGTCTTAAACTCCTGTACTTAAGCAATTATCTTGCCTCAACTTCACAAAGTGTCGGGATTACAGGTGTGACCCACCCACTTATATTTAAAATATAAACAACCCAATAGAAAAATGGATGAAGTTTGGATCGAAGAAGACCGAATAGGAACAGCTCTGGATTGCAGTTCCTCTGCAGCGAAAATGCAGAGGGTCAAAGATAACAGAAGAAGAAACTGGCAGCAACCCTTACTGCAGCTGCTGCAGATGATCCCCAGGCAAGCAGGGTCTGGAGTGGACCTCCAGAAGCAGTCCTACAACAGAGGGGCCTGTTAGAAGGAAAACTAAGAAACAGAAAGAAATAACTTCATCATCAACAAAAAGGACGTCCAGAGACCCCATGTGGAAGCCACCAACTACAAAGACCACAGGTAGATAAATCCACAAAGATGGGAAGAAACCAGTGCAAAAAGGATGAAAGCACCCAAAACCAGAATGCCTCTCCTCCTCCAAGGGATCGCAACTCCTCACCAGCAAGGGAACAAAGCTGGATGGAGAATGAGTCTGATGAATTGACAGAAACAGGCTCTGGAAGGCGGGTACTAACAAACTTCTCTGAGCTAAGAGAACATGTTCTAACACAACGTGGTGCTGAGAAGAATGTATATTCTGTGGATTTGGGGTGGAAATTTCTGTAGATGTCTATTGGATCTGCTTGGTCCAGATCTGAGTTCAAGTCCTGGATATCCTTGTTAATTTTCTGTCTGGTTGATCTGTCTAATATTGACAGTGGAATGTTAAAGTCTCCCACTATTATTGTGTGGGAGTCTAAGTCTCTTTGTAGGCCATTAAGAACTTGCTTTATGTACCTGGGTGCTCCTGTATTGGGTGTGTATATATTTATGATCATTAGCTTTTCTTGATGCATTGATCCTTTTACCATTATGTAATGCCCTTCTTTGTCTCTTTTGGTCTTTGTTGGTTTAAAGTCTATTTTATCAGAGACTAGGATTGCAACTTCTGCTTTTTCTTGCTCTCCATTTGCTTGATAAATCTTCCTCCATCCCTTTATTTTGAGCCTATGTGTGCCCTTGCACATGAGATGGATTTCCTGAATACAGCACACCGATGGGTCTTGACTTTTTATCCAATTGGCCAGTGTGTGACTTTTGATTGGGGCATTTAGCCCATTTACATTTAAGGTTGATATTGTTATGTGTGAATTCGATCCTGCCATTTTGATGCTAGCTGGATGTTTTGCACATTAGTTGACGCATTTTTTTCATTGTGTTGACAGCCCATATACACCATAGAATACTATGCAGCCATAAAAAATGATGAATTTGTGTGCTTTGTAGGGACATGGATGTATCTGGAAACCATAATTGTCAGCAAACTGACACAAGAACAGAAAATCAAACACCACATGTTCTCACTCATAGGCAGGTGTTGAACAGTGAGAACTCATGGACACAGGGAGGGGAGCATCACACACTGGCATCTGTTGGGGAGGGCAGGGGAGGGACAGCGGGTGGTGGTGTGGAGGTCGGGGAGGGATAACATGGGGAGAAATGCCAGATGTAGGTGATGGGGGGATGGAGGCAGCAAACCACATTGCCCTGTGTGTACCTATGCAACAGTCCTGCATGATCTGCACATGTACCCCAGAACCTAAAGTACAATAAAGAAAGGAAAAAAAAAAAAAAGAAAATGTATTATATATACACAATGGAGTACTATTCAGCCATAAAATGAATGAGATCCTGTCATTCACAACAACATGGGTGAAATTAGAGGTCGTTATATTGAGTGAAATATGCCAGGCACAGAAAAACAAACATTGCCTGTTCTCACTTATTTGTGGAATCTAAAAATAAAAACAATTGTACTCATAGACATAGAGAATAGGATGTTTACCAGAGGCTGGGAAGGGTAGTAGGAACCTGGGGGAAAGGTGAGCATAGTTAATGGATATTAAAAAAATAGAAAGAATGAATAAGACCTACTATTTTATAGCACAATAGAGTGACTATAGTCAATAATAATTTAATCATACATTTTAAGATATTGAAACAAATGTAATTAGATTGTTTATAACACAAAGGATAACTGCTTGAGGGGATGGATACCTGATTCTTCATGATGTGATTATTTCACATTGCATGCCTGAATCAAAATATCTCATGTACCCCATAAATATATACACCTGCTATGTACCCACAAAAATAAAAATATATATATTTTAAAGTTAGTCAATTATTGTGCTACAACAATTGTGCTCCTCATAATATGCACAAAATTAATTGTATTGACATCAAAAAATGAATCAACCATGTTCAGAGAATAAATCTGTAATTACTCTGTTAGTTAACTTTAGCTGTAACCCACTACAAAATCTCAGATGCTTGCAACTACAGCATTTGTTATAATGCTCACTGGTTAGTAGGTTGGCAGAGAACCTGTTGGTCTAGGCTGCTTTGACTTGCTGGCTTTGCTTCAGTTTTACCAGGCACTGGCTCCAGGCTGTGAATTTGGCTCAGGTTTGCACCATGTATCTCCTTCTGGAAACTAGATTCAAGGGGAAGTACCTACTAGGGAAGCACTACCCTAGTACTAGAAATCAAACCTTGCAGTAAAATCACACTGAAGTTCTTGCTTTTATCACATCCACTAACATTCTATTGACCAAAACAAGTCATGAGGACCACACCGACCAGAGAAAATCATGTGTCTAAAGTCAGAGTGTAGGTAAACACAATCTGTCCACTTTGTCCCTCCTGATGTGGATGTGAATGAATACTGCTGCTACTAAGAAGTAAAGAATTGAGACTGATAATTCCAAATGGCACTTGAAAGATTCCATTTATGTAAAACATTGTAAGTGTTCACTAAATAGGTAATTACAGTTAGGTTTCGGAGATATAATTTAAGATTATTATTATTTATTCTATTTTTTTCTGAAATAGGCAAAAATTTTAAAAATTAAATTAAATTTTATTTTAAACTGACAATAATTATGCATATTCACAGTGATGTTTTGATGCATATGTATTGTGATTAGATCAGGGTAATTAGCATATTTATAGTCTCAAGCATTTCTCATTTCTTTGTGTTGAGAACATTCAATATACATATATATTCAAAAATACACTAACATTTTAAAAACGAAATGAAGAATGAAAAAAATGATATTCTCTCTTTGTTTTCCTGGCCTGATCAGAGTTCAATAGCCTATCTCTTGGTGTGAAAAACCTAAATGAGAGACTTACTTGCATTTTCCTCATTTATCTAATTTCTAAGGGTTGGTCAGAGTTCTTACTTCTTAAGGGAGTAAGAATGGAAGATCTATCTAGTTGAGAAGAATGTTTCTGTCTTATTTTTCCTTTGCTATGTAGACGATTAACTTTTCTGGCTTTATCCAGTGTTAAGCTATAGATACAGTAACAGGATTAACAACAATAAAATAACAACAGGCACACACTTGGATGGTTGTGACAAGACCTGGACTCTGGCCCTTCCTGGACATGACCCACCCACTGGCACAGGCCATTGATATGTAATGTGCCAGTGGGTGGGTCATGTCCATTCTTTGGGGCTTGTAAGCTGTCATCAATATACACAGGCATACTTCCAGGGACAGGAAACTACATCCACATATATGCACTTATGTGTACGTGAATGATCATTTCATGCCTCGTGAACTGAGTTCTCACAGAAACTTTAGTATCAGGAGGCCTGTAGCACCAAACATGAAGGGACATCCTCCTCACTGAGCACAACCTACCTTCCTGGGCTGCAACCTGTTGAGTATTCTCTCTCTAATCTCCTTCATCTTGACACTATAGAGAATAGGGTTTATCAATGGAGGAAGCAGGAAATGGATATAGGAGAGAAGAGTATGAGTATGCTGAGTGATTGGCAGCTCAAGATGATTAATCAGTGCCAGGAGGATCATAGGGAAATAGAAGAGGAGCACGGCAGAGAGGTGGGCAACACAGGTTTGACCAGCCTTCCAGCGATCCTCCCTGGACTCCAAACCTTGCAACACCTTACCAATCAGGCCATAGGAGAAGAAAATAAGCAGGGGGTCCAAACCCATGGCTGAAAAAACCACAAATAGGCTGTAGACTTCACCCCAAGCTCCTGGGCAGGCCAAACGGGCCACATCTGGATGCAAGCAGTAAGAATGGGTTAGGACCTGTGGGCGGCAGTAGGGCATGTGGGCCAGCAGAAATGGCAGGGGCAGATGGAGACCCAGGCATCGAAAAACAATGGCCAGGCTGATTTTGCTAATTACGCTATTGGTGAGGAGTGCTGAGTAGTGGAGAGGTCGGCAGATGGCCAGTGCCCGATCAATGGACATGGCAAGCAAGACAGAGGACTCCATGACAGAAAAGACATGGACAAAAAACATCTGTAGAAGGCAGGCTGGGGCAGGGATAGTGTGAGCACCAGCAAAGGCAAGGCCCAGCAGTGTGGGCATCAGGGCAGTGACCAAGCCAATATCAGACACACTAAGTAAGAAGAGGAAGAAGTGCATTGGGCGGTGCAGGGCAGGCTCCAGTGCAATGATCCAGAGGATAGTACCATTGCCCAGCGCAGAGAGAAGGTAGACAGCAATGAGGGGCATTGTCCACCAGGAGGGTGCACTTGACAGGCCTGGCATGCCCACTAACAGGAAGGTGGGGGCCATTGAAGTGCTGCTATTGAGGGCTGCTTGGGTGGGTAATGTTGACATAGTTCAGGATTCCTGGTTGAACTCTGGAACCTGAAAAATGATTAGAAAGGTTTACTTAAGTGCCTGCTAAATTTGCATAAAACTTTCCAAAATAGCCTGCCTCTTCCCTCCCAACTCATGAGCACGCACGCGCGCGCGCGCACACACACACACACACACACACACATTTCCTCCCTATGCACACACCCATCCTAATAGTATTTGCAGCAGTCATTCCTTGCCTTTGAAGTTTTTCTATAGGTGTCCTCATAGCTCTGTGGTTCTGTTTCTTTCTTAAAGTATTTTCACATTTTTTTTACCTTGTGTCTCCATGTAGTGTTATCCTAATTTTTCTCCTCCCTTCATGACAAACATTTAAGGAAACAGTCTATTTACCCATATTTTTTTCTCTTCCCAACTCCAGACAATCTGACTTCTAGAATGCCTTAAGATATTTACATTTTGGCGCACTTTAATTGTTCTTATTATTTCCAAGATATTTCTTATTATTGTTCCTTTATTTCTAAATTAAGGGGCATTTATTTTTTGTAAGGTTGATTTATTTTTTAATGAGCTTTGGCTATTATGGATCCATTTTTTACTTTTTTATAAAAGAATCTGTCTTTCAGAATTTAGACTTTAATTCACCTTGCTGTGTCCCTATGATTTATACATTAGTATTTAAAATTTTTGTTTTATTGAAACGTAATAATTGTACCTATTTTAGGGGAGTGCATGTGGTATTTTGTTACATGCACAGAATGTGAAATGATAAAGTCAGGGTATTTAGGACATCCATCGCCCTGAGTAATTATAATTTTTATAAGCTAGAAATATTTCAAGTTCTGTCTACCAGCTATTTTGAAATGTACAATACATTGTTAACTATAATCATCCTACTTGCCTATTGAACATTAGCACTTATTTCTTCTATCTAAGTGTATGCTTACATTTTTGAGGGATCTTTGCTTGGCCCTGCTCCTTTTCCTCCATGGTCTTATCTACTCTCAGGACGTCAACTCAAGTTTACAAATAGATAAATCACTAGTATATATTTCACAAATCATTCTAGGTTCATCTCACCTTGGATGTTCCATGCAATTTAAATTCAAATAATCCAAAGCAGATCTTAACAGACACATCTTAATGTCTCTTTGAGAGTCCTCAGTTAGTAAACAGTGAAGAGGAATTTAAGCCAATAGCAAACCAATAAGACACTCCTTGGTTCTCTAAGTCAGTTGGGGCTGCCACCACCCATCAATTTTCCAAAATGAAAACCTGAGAATTAGCCTCTCCTCCCATCTAATATCCAAATATTATTTATAATTTTAACAAGAAGGAATGGGCACACAACATAGTGATATCTTCTTCCCTGCCCAAATGCCCAGAATGGTTGAAACTGAAATTCTGGATAAAAAGACCATGAAAATTGGAATCTAAAGAAAAGTAAAATAAAAACTTGTTAGATTATGTTTTCAGGGGAATGATACAGATACAAGTTAACCCTAAACATTTATTACAAAAATTCCAAATACATATGTTAAAAATATTACATTAAAATTTTCAATAAAGTGTAATAAATTATAAACTAAAAAGGAAGATAAATATAACAAAAGCTTAATCTCACAGACTTTTCAAAAGGAATAAATAGAAACAGACATTCATTTCCTTTGTGATGGATTGAGGACGCTAACATATTCTCTCCCCTGCAAAGCAGATATTAACCTGGCAAGCTGTCAATAACATCTATTTTGGCACTCTGGAAATCCATTAGAGACATAAACTTGTTTATTGAAATGACTGAACTTTGGAATATAACAGCCACGTGCCTGGCATTTTGGCCAAGTCTGCTTCATTCTGGTGCCTCCTGCTCTATCAGTAGTGGTCAGATAAGGAAACCCCACAGTTTTGTTCCTGCACTATGAGGCAGCTTCTGTGATCTGGAGCTCTGTCAGTTAGCATGGCAATTTTGGTGGCAAGCAAATAGGGAGGGCCAGCAGCTCCATTACCCTGAGATTCTCGTCCTCTTTGGGGCAATGTGTCTACCAGCAGACTAGCTGGGGATTTAACACAGAGTTCTGGCTGAAAAATAAAACAATTATGGGAACTGGAATCTATAGGAAGAAATTAATAGTACTGGACATAATAAATATATGGGTAAATATGAAGGAGTCTATACACATGTTTTACTTAATTTTCCCTAAATTTCCTTAACAGGCATGGATTATATTAAAAATAATTATAATACTGTATTGTTGAGTAAATTGTGTATATTACACATGTGCATGTCTGCATATGTATACATATATTATGATAATAGCACAAGAGGGAGGAATTAAAAATGTATTAAAACAAAACTTTTGAATTTTACTGGAATTAAGTTAATATTATTCTGAAGTAAATTATATAGCAATGTGCATATTGTATTTATAGAGAAACTGCTAATAAAATAAAAATAATCAAGAGATGAATTGAAATGGTTCACCAAAAACAGTTATTTAACACAAATGAATGCCACGAAAGAGCAGAGGAACAAAAAAAAGACGCAAAACTAACAGAAAACAAATAGCAAAATTACAGGTGAAATTCCAACAAATAATAACAAAGTGAATAGACTAAACATGCCTCACAAAAGGCACATTGTTATGTAGAATAAAAAGCAAGTTATAACTATATTCTGAATACAAGAGACATACCATAGATTCAAAGGAGTAAATAGTTGAAAGTAAGAAAGTAGAAAATTATATACCCCACAAAAATACATGAGAGATGCAGTGTCTATACCAATATCAGACACAATAGACTTCAAGGCAGAACATATTATGAAACCAAGGAGAATATTTCATAATGAAACATGGTCAATATTAGGAAGATATAACAGTTATAAATGCATATATAAAGAACACTAGGTCCCTGAAGTACATGAACCCAAACTCACAAAATTAAAGAGAGAGATAAGCAATTCATCAATAATAGTTGAAGATTTTAATATTCCAAACTCAATAATTGATAAAACAATTGGACAAAAAATACACAAGGAAACAGAAATCTTCTGAAAAACACCATGAACCAGAAATGACATTTACATAATACTCTCCACAATAACAGACTACATATTCTTTTCAAACATATATAGGATTTTCTGTATGAAAAACAGTAGGCTGGGAGGCAAAATGAGGCTTAATAATTTTAAAAATTTTCATATACAAAGCATGTTCATTTTTCAAATTAATAACTCAAGCTTCCTTAAGTACTTACAAAACAAGGAACAATCAACACCCAAACTAAGTAAGTGTTTGTGAGAATGTGGAGGAAAGGGAACCCTTGTACCTTGTTAGTAGGAGAGTAAATTTGTACACCCATTATGAAGAATAGTATAAAAGCTTTTCAAATAATTGAAAATGAAACCACCATATTATTCAGCATTCCCACTTCTGGGTATGTATTCAATGAAAATAAAACCATGATCTCAAAGAGATTCCTCCACTCCCATGTTCACTGAAGCATTATTAATAAGAGCCATGATATGGAAACAAGTGTTCACTGATGTGTGAAGAGGTTAAGAAAAGATCTATCTATCTATCTATCTATCTATCTATATATCTCACACTTTTTAACCTCTTCACACATCAGTGAACACTTAAGAATATATATATATATAATATTCAACCTTCCAAAAGAACAACCTGTCATTTGCAACAATATGGATAAATATGGAGGACACTATGCTAAGTGAAATAAGCCAGACACGGTAAGAAAAATGCTGCACAACCTCAAGTTTGTGTGAACTCTAACAAAGTCAAGCTCATAGAAACAGAATAGAAGGGTGATTATCAGGGTTTGAGGGGGTATGGGGGAAATAGGGAGATGTTAGTCAAAGGATACAAACTTATAGTTATAAGATGTGTAAGTGTTAGAGACTTAATGAACAGTATGATGATTATGGTTAATAATAATCATTGCATATTTAAATTTGCCAAAGGACAGATCTTAGGTATCCTCCAAACACACACATGCGTACATACACACATGCATGCACACATATACAATGGTAACTATGTGAGGTAATAAATGTTAATTGGCTTGATTGTGGTCAATGCTTCACTATATATATATATATATATATATATATATATATATATATAGAAACATCATATTGTACACCTTGAATACAGACAATTTTAAATTGCCAATTTTACTTTAATAAAGCTGAAAATAATGGAATAAAATAAAAAAATAAGTGTAGGCGACAGAATTAAAGATTAAAAAATTGAAAACCCTTAGCAAGCTTAAAAAGAAAATAAAAGATGCAAAATCAGGAATGCAATGTGGGACAACACTATTAGACAACTTGATTAAAACTTTAAAAAAATCCTAGAAAAATAAAAATTATCAAACGGACTCAAGAAGAAATAGCAATTCTAAACAGAACTATAACGAACAAACTCAACTACTAATTAAAAATATTCTTACTAAAAAAATCCAAGGTCCAGATGATTTCATGGGTGAATTAGATCACATATTAAAAGAAGAAATATTATCTAATCCTTCTCATAACATTTTAAAATAGAGGAGGATTTTATAAAATCCTACTCAATCCAGAAGCACAGTGTAATCTTGATTCTCAAGCCACAGTCATAACAAAAAACACAACCACTCACAAATATTCCTGAAGTAAATAGACATATAAATTCTTAATATTAACAAATTAAATTCGGCTACATATTAAAAAAAATCTTCACTGCAATTATGTGGAATTTATGTCGAGGTGCAGAGTTGGTTTTGTATTTCAACATCAACTAATGTAATACACATTAGAAAATTCGACAAAAATTGTATGGTCATCTCATTGGGCACAGAAAATCATGTGACAAAATCCTGCACTTACTAATTAACAACTCTTAATAAACTAGAAATAGAGAACTTATTAAATGAGATTAAGGGTATCTGTGAATAACCTATAGTGAACATTCTACTTAAATGTAAAAGACTGAACATTTCCTCTGTAAGATTTAGAATGAGGAAACAATAATTTCTGGCTACTTCTATTGAATAGTATACCAAGGATTCTAGATAATACACTAGGGGAAA